TTTCTGTCTCCCTATTTCTGGTGAGCACATGCACTCTATAGCAAAAATCTCTTTTTAAAAAAGAAAATATAATTGGTGAACTATTGTTACAAGACAGCTTATTAGATTAATAGCTAGTGGAACTTATTAATTATTGCAAAGCAAAGAAAACACGATAAACTAGAGAGACATAGCAAATACTATCACATTTTTTTTTTCTTTAAATTTGGTAGACAGTGAGTATACTCACTGAAGAGAGGAAGAAAGAGAAGGAAAATAAAGTACACCCCATGGAGAATGATCACGCTGCAATACCCTCTCCTCCACCTCTCCTCTTGAGATTCTGGGCATACATGCACACATGCCAGGTGTGCTTTTCGAGCTGCCAGGCTCAGGACTTAAACTACGCAGTCAGTCATGTGGGATCCAGTCACCTTAACTACCACAGCTGGCCCAATATATTCTAAGACCACAGACAGAAACTAAGGGAATGGGTGGTGGTGCAGTAGTAGAGCAACTGGACCCACAGAGAAAGATACTGGGTTCCTGTCCTGGAACATCCCTGAACATGATGGGTGTGTGTATGCTCACGCTCATGCTCTGGGCCTCCTGAGCCTGGGAGTGAATCACGGTATGAGGACCCTGTTGAGGGTGCCTGTCTGTCTCTTTGTCTCTCTCATAGAATAAATAAATAGCTTAAAAAAAAAAAAACTCACCTGCTGATAATAAACAGGTAATATAAATATCTATAAATATTTTAGTGCAAGAGAAGAGAAAATTGAAAGGCTCACATGAAAACATTTTTTTTTAAGAAACAATATACTGACCTGATATTTAAGAATGTTAGAGCCTGTAGGTTTAGAATTGCCTCTGGGATATACCTAATACAATTCTGGTACAAGTTGAGATTTTCAAGAGAAACGAAGTGACATGTTTCTATAGGAATTTCTGAGAGGCGATTTCGTGATAAGTCTGTTAAAAAAAAAAAAGAAATTAAGTTTAAAATCAGTTCCTGAAACATATTTTACTGAAATAAATGAGCAGTATTCAGGATTATTTTAATTCCTCAGAGTTCCTATTACAGTAATTAGTACCAAATAAGCATTTAAATATTTATTTGTTAATTGATGGGCTGGCAGGTGGTGTGGTGCTTCCGGAGCTGAACTCACACATGGCCAACTGTGGTTCAAATCTCAGACCTGGTGGTTTGCTTTCTTACTTCCCCTTTTCCTCTCTTTGGTCAATTAAATAACAATAATAATAATAAAAAAAATAAATAAAATGAAATAAACAATTCTTTAAAAAAAAAACAAATATATATTAATTGACTGAATAAACCATTTTTAAAATTTAAATTTTATTTATTCACTTATTTTTATTTGACCAGAGATAGACAGACACACAGAGAAGGAAAGTGAGAAAGCAAATCCCCAAGTCTGGGACTCAAACCGTGGTCAGCCATGTGGGAGTGTCCAGTGCATTAACCACCACGCCACCTGCTGGCCCCTGAATAAGCTATTTTAACTTATGCCTCTGAACTGGCTGCTGGAAAATGCTGTTGATCCCTTTTGAGCTTTCTTACATACTATACACATACATGCACGCATGTGCACACACACACACACACACACACATATATATATATGTAGTATAATGTGTATACATATGATGGTAAGGAGGAAAAGGGATGGTGGCACAACCATATTCTATTTGGGGGGATGGTCTCTCTCTCTCTAGCAGGAGCGCATACTCCTTGGCAATAGAAAAAAGTGATTTTGCAATAGGGCACATGCACGAGAGAGAGAGAGAGCCTGGAACTTGAATTGCAGTCAGCCATGTGGGAGTGCAGTGCCCTAACCACCATTCAACCTGCTGGCCCTCTGTCATTGTCTCTTAGAATTATCCCACAAATAGGGACCTACAGATGGTGTAATGATTACATTGCTAGGCTCCCACATAGATGACTGTGATTCGAGTCCTGGACCTGGTGGCTTAAAACTCGCATACGGTATTATGTGCATGTGTGCTCAAAATACTGAGAAGAGAAGAGAATGGAGGAGAAGGGATTACGCCCACCCTGGGAGGGTGATTTCTTGCTTTCTGTCTCTCTCTGTCTCTCTAGCGAGCACATGTGCTCTATAGCAAAAATCTCTCTTTTTTAAAAAAAAAAAGAATTTTAAAGCTGAAGTGTGTCCTGGCCTGTTTGGGGAAGATATGCTCTAAACTGCATCATCTAGACTCCCGTAATATTCAGACAAGAAGTCATTTTAAAGCTGTGGGGAAGATATGCTCTAAACTGCATCATCTAGACTCCCGTAATATTCAGACAAGAAGTCATTTTAAAGCTGAGGTATGTCTTGGCCTGTTCAGGGAAGCTATGCTCTAAACTCCATCTTCTAGACTCCCAAAATATTCAGACAAGGTAGAGTGACCTCTGTCCTCTCGCTGTCTCTGGCCATCTGTCTCTCTCTTTGCTCTCTCTCTTTAATTCTTTTTTTTTTTTTAATTTCAACCACTTCTCCTCACCTTGGGCCTTTTCTTTTCACTTATTATTTTCAGAAGCCAATTTAAAGCTGAGGTGTGTCCTGGCCTGTTCATTTTTACGTGTAAAAAAATGTTATTTTCCTCTTTTGGTAGAATTTTTATAGTTTTTTCGTTTTGCTTTCTTTCTTCTTCTTTTTTTTAAATCTTTCTTTCCCCCTCTAAGCTTCACTCTCCATACACTAATGTCTAGATAGGCCTTTATGCACAGTAGCCAAGTATCTCAATACTTTTAGAGTCATTGAAATCCTCAATGCTTATTGAACCTCCTGCTTCAAGGAAGAAATTTCTTTTTATAAATCTAAACTAGTAATCTCTTTCTGTGGATACCACATTAGGAAGCACAGTGGAGGAGAGATTTTTGTCACAGAATGACCAGAAACCACCATAGGGGCACATGGGAACCCAAGAAAATATCTCTTCCCTAAGGGAAAAGAACAATCCCTAGTCATCCACAGAAAGTACAGTAGAACTCTTGGAAATGTTTAATAGAGAATTCAGAATATTCATAGTGACAAAACTAAACGAGATGCAAGAGCTGAGAGATAATAAACTACAGAAGATGCAGGAGAAAAGAGACGAGTTCCAGGAGGTGTTGAAGTTATTTCATGACCTGAAAGAGGAAACACACACCATAAAAAAGAATCAAATGGAACTACTGGAGATGAAGGATGCCATTCAAGAAATCAAAATCTCCCTCGAAATTATTAAAAGCAGATTAGTCCATGCAGAAAATTGAATCTCAGATGTTGAAGGTAAAACTTCTGATCTAGAAAAAACAACCAAAAAAACTAAGAAAAAAAAAATGAGAATAGTATACAAGAAATACTAGACAGCATTAAGCGCCCAAACATCCAAATAATTAGTATCCCAGAAGGTGAGAAAACTAATAAAGGCATTCATAATCTATTCCATCAAATCTTGGAAGAAAACTTTCCAAATCCAGAGAGGGATTCGAATATCCAGACTCAACAAATACAAAGGACCCCTAATACAATCAACCCAAGAAGATCTTCTCCAAGGCACATCATAGCCAGATTGGCCAAATCTACAGACAAAGATAAGATACTAAAATTGGCAAGAGAGAAACGTCAAGTTACTTATGAAGGTTATCCAATCATGCTAACCTCAGACTTCTCATCAGAAACAATGAGAGCTAGGAAAGAATGGGAAAATATATTCAAAGCGTTAAGTGAAAAACAGTTTCAACCAAGAATACTATACCCAGCAAGATTATCTTTCATATGGAAAGAAAGGATAAAAACATTCTCAGATAAATAAGACCTGAAAGAAATTGCCAATAGCAGACCCACTTCAAGAAGTTCTGAAAGGAGTGCTCCTGCTCTACCAGGAAAACTAAAGACATATACAGAAATAAGAAAACAAAAGACAACCAAGAAAATAACCAACTTAATGCTATGGACAAGAATTATCAATAATAACACTGAATGTTAACTTCCAAGATTTAAGCGAATAGACTGGACCACAGTAACACTGCATAGTCAACAGAAGAGAATTTGAACATAAGATTGAACTGGTGAAATAGAATTTTATGACTTTTTGAGTGAAACATTACTGATTTTTTTTTTTTTTACTATGCCTTGTTTTCCCAATTTAAGTATTTTACTTTCTTTTGAGTTGCTGACAGGTTCAGCAATTTGTTAAAATATTTTGGTTTCTTTAAATGGAAACATAAACTTTTCTTCCTTCTTGACCTCTCTGTAATTGGAATATATTTGGGAGTATTATTTTGTGACAGAAGGGTTATTTGCATAAGTTCAATAATGCTTGTTGTATTGAATCAGAAATTGGGAATACTCATTACTGGACAGGGCTTTGACTAGAATGTCATATCTGAAGATTAATCAGAAAATTATGGAACTAAGATGGATCTCAAGTAAGTCAACAGAAGCTCTTAGAAAGATGGCCTGGCACCATGAATAGTTCTGCCTGGCAGAGAGGATTAGAGAAGATATATGAAAGAATTTATAACATAAAATAACCTGGACTTTTCCAGCCCAGCAATGTAATCAGTAGAGACTGCAAAAGAGCAACCACACCAGAGGATTATCTTGAGAAAGACTTTGAAGGAAGAGAAAGAGACTGATCTTTGCTAGCAGATGGCATATCACAGAATATTTGGTAGGCAGGGCTGAATTGAGAAGGTTTATGTGTGACTTGGGTGCTGGGCATTTGCTTTTCAACAATTTGAGTAGTTGGCATGTAAATATTTTCTCAAAACTATTTAAAATCATACTGTCTCTGTTGTTATAGAGTCACCAACAAAATTATAAAAATATTTTAAACATTACCTTTAAAATTCAGTATTTTGAAATTTTGAAAGTTGTCCATTAACAGTCAAGAACTATGGAGTATGATGTAAAATTTTTTTATATGTAAAGCAAATGTGGAAAAATGTAAAAATAAGTAAATTAATGGGAAAAAAAGAATTATCCCACAAATCAAATTGAATAATGCACAGAAATTACTTAATATAGCAGAAAATACAAAGAGGTAGGCATAAAACCAGTTTCATAAGCTTAAGAGCAAGAGAGAAAATTCTCAAAGTATAAGAAATTGTACAAACTATACAGTAAAATCCAGTAGAGTACAATACAACAATTTGTGATCTTTGGTCATCAAAAAGAAGAAATATTATAGTAACTCTGCTTTTAAAAGGTCAGGAGGGGTATAGAAAACATCTAAAGATTTACATTAAAATGTTTAATAGTTTCTTAACCTTCAGTCAGTTTAACTAAGTGGAGAGGTTACTTCTGTGTCATTAGAATAACTTCATTTTGATTTCACATATTACTACTGTCACACATGCCTCTTAAATTTCCATGCCAAGGTCATCAGTCTTAGGTTGTTTTCTAGACAGCAAGCTCAACTGAGATTTGCCAAGTATTGTGAAAAAACGGCAAACTAGATTATCAACAACTTTTCAACTAAACTATTAAGTTATTTCTATGTATCACATCCTGAATGTGGCCCTGGTTTTTCAGCAGCCATTATCTTTTCTTCTAATGCTAGTAATACAAGCTAGTGACCTACACCCATTTTTGGCACAGCTGTCATATGTATTACTCAGTTCACCAAGGCAGATAAAACGATTTGGCCTGACAAAACTATGAGAAAAATTCTGGCATAGGAAAACATGATCAAGTTTGTAATCAAAAGAAACATTTCAATGAAAAAAGTTCTAAGCATCTCTTGCAAGCAAACTCCTTTAAAAAATCTTAAGCTCAGGGGCCAATGGGTGGCGTGTTGGTAGCGGCAGTGCTAGATGCCCATATGACTGATGGTTGCTTGGGTCCCAGACTTAGTGACTTGAAAATCATGCCAGGTGCATGTGTGCACTGCCCAGAATCCTGGCAGGTGAATGGAGGAGAAGGAATTCCAGTGTGGCTATCCTCGCAGCCCCCATGGTG